CTGTTTGTCTTTAATGACTTCATCCACTTAACATCTTTATAACAACAAATAACCATCCTGGTATTTTAATTAGACAAAATGGACAATGCTGCTTTTTCTTTTCTGGTTATATTTGAAATCCAGCCTGGCAAATCTAAAAATAAGTATCTGAAACTGGGGGAATTCTGATTCTTTGTAATAAGATTTTTGAATGCCATAGAATAAAAAGCTTTTTAATTAAAGAAAATGTGAAAAAGATAATTGTCAAAAAGGACAATTCACTAAATCTTACTGAACCTACCTGCAAAGCTCTTGTGGTGTTTGCATGTTGCCTCTACCTGAAAACCTCTCAGCTTTAAAATTAAAATTTAGGAAAAGTGCCTTTTGCCAATAGAGATTGCCATCCATGTACAGTCACACACAGCTTTGTAATTCTTTTTCCCCTCCAAGTATAGTTAATAGCTGAAAACCTGAACATTTCTTCAATCGGGAATACCCAGAGGGAAACAATGACAGGTGGAAAATGTCTGTTCATTATTGTCTCAAAGAACAGTCCCAAGAGAGACAAAGCAGATTTCAGGGAGCAGAGTGTCAATTTTATAGATGAAGATTTTTTGAAACAAGAGTTTGCCAGCAGTGCAGTGGGTGTAAGTGCAGTGGTGACCCAGGCAAGGCTGCCCACTGGCAGAACTGCATCCAAACTGGGAAATTTCACAGATTCAGCAGCATCACTGCATATTGTGGCAAAGGTCTAAAAGTGCTGGACAATGCCAGGTAGAATGGACAAAGGTGTAAATGTCCTGAATGTGGTCATGCAGGATGGCCAAAGGTCTCGGTGTGTGGAACACTGCTGTGTAGAGCTGGTCTCAGATGCCCAGCTGACATTTCTTCTGTCATGGTGCCCAACAAGGACTTCAATATCTGCTGTGTATAAATATATTGTGAAACCAAATACCATGGGGTATTAGAGAGGATAGATGGGGGTGTGGGTTCAATAACAAAATGGAAAAAAAATTAATAGAAACCTTACCTGCTGACAATTACTCAGGTGTGAATTTCAGGAGAGGAGCTGCCCAAGCAGCCTGTTGGTCCTTTTGAAATGTAGCCTCAGCTTCCACTAACCTAATTGTCCTGCTTGGGTACTTGTTTTCTCACCAAAAACAGGATATGGATTTTCAAAGACAGAGCTTGCTATGTCTCATCAGGAGAGGACAGCCTTCCTCTGTCTTGAGCAACCACCAAGAGGCTTCACAAGCAGGATGTGGAGCAGAGCAGTGTGTGTGGACATGTTCTGGCACTGTTTCATCAGTCTGAATAGGTTTACCTTGCCCATAAAAAAGAGGTGAAGCAGTGATTAACATGTTGGGTTTTACTTCTGTGAATATTTATTTTCAGGGAACATGGAAGTATTGAAGGAATCCTGCAGCATCAGCTGTTACATTATTGCTGCAGGTCTGCTGCTGACATTTGAACTGGTTTTATGTTATGGTCTTTTTCTTTAGAGATGCTCATTGTAACAAAATCCCAGATGAACAGCTGGCCCTCCTCAATCAAAAAATGAGGCACAATCTCAAGGAATTAGCCCAGTGCCTAAGTACATGCCTTAGAGAGTGGGGACTGTGCAAAGGACTTTTGGGGAGGGCTGGGAGATCGAGTAATAAGCAGAAGCAATTTGTACGTGTGCATTTCCTGAGAGTAAAATGTTGGATCTTATTATTTGAGCAGTTTCCTTATTCCTCTGCAAGTCTGGGAATAAACATTTATTAGGGAATTTTCTGCCAGTATCCCTTTGTATTCATTACTCTGGTTGGCAGAAGAACAGCCAGCCTGCATTTACATCTGACTCTTAAACATGTTGTTAGCTGTTACGTGCCTCTCTAAGTGAGGGATCAGAGGCTTAGCTGTAAATATGAGGAAGGCTCAGGATAAAGCTGCGTATACAGACTTAACCCGAGGTCACAGCTCAGTGAGAGCGCCTTTGCCGTGGGGTTTTGTTGTTCATTGAGACCTTCTCCTGCCCTCTGCTGGCAGTTCCCTGCTAGGGGACAGGGATGCCCAAACACCATTCCCGGGATAGTTACCTGTGCCAGCTTGCTGCTTGCAATCTGCTTTGCCAGAGGGATTTGAATTCCTGTCATTAATGAAATTCCTTGCCACAGGTAACTGCTGTGCCCACTGCATTTATAATGCTATCTGAATGTTATATGAAGATGCATAAAGTACAATCATTTTGGTCTTTGAAAATCATCTCAATGTACAAGCAAGCGATCACCCAGGGTTCAGTTATTCTGTCCTTCAAAACTCTATTTACTTTCTGAAGTAAAGTTTCTGATTTTTGGCAGGCATGCTGATTTGCAAAGTCAAGTACTTGAGTTCAGAAATGCCAGCATTGAGGATACCTGTGCTATTTTAATGCTACTCTTGCCATCTTGTGTTTGATGCCTGTATGTATTAGAATGCAGTTTTCCTCCACTGTTTTATTGGTGGGTTTTGTTTTTTTTTTCATGTTGGTGTATTGCATATGTAATAATCATAATTCCATGTATTTGTAGTTTCACCTGTGACATAGCCAAGTGTGGAATACAGTTCTCCAAAAAGCCTTTAAATATAGTTTTGTCTACTTTTCAGTTTCAGAAAGAATAATAACTTTGAACTTAGTTCAACTCTTATGCCCTGAATGAATAAGCAAAGGGACCTAAAAGGAAAAAGTGTAATATACATGTAAGAACAGACAAAATAAAAATTGTACAGACTGTTTCAATTTGGATACATCCTTGTTCCTTTAATATGTGACATCACAACTTTGATCATCTTATAGTATTTTCTGAATTGGGTTGAGATATTCAAATGCTTGAGAAAGCTAACCTGAAAAATTGTGCATCAGCTTTGGATAGCAATGGGGTTGTGAGCAAGGCTTTTAGGTCCACTTTTACCAGTTGTGTTTGTGAAGCAATCAAAGTGGAGATGAGTTAGCTGTGATTTTATTGATAGGCATAATGGGATGCATTTTTGCTGGTGGATTTCTGAGATCATTACTGTAAGCCAGGAGAGTGATGAGAATCAGTGCAGGATTTTGTGAACATAGTTCATGGACATGAACTCTCTTGCTGTTCCTTTCCATCCCTCCATTTATCCCCATTCTAATTTCTGTACTTTAGGTTCCACCTCTCCATCTGAGTTACATCCTTTTCACAGAAGATCTTAACTCGTGCCTCGCTTTGTTTCTTTCCTTCTCCAGCCTCCTTGTTCTCAAGCTCAGTCTTCTATCTTTGGGCTTTTGATCCACCAGAATTTCACATCCCTCTCCTGCTTCTAGCCTGAGTTGTAGGTTTTATGTTTGTTTGACTTTAAGGCCACTGAAAAGCTTTCCATTGGAGCTGTAAAATACCTGTGCTGATTCACCTTCTTGGCTACTTACTGCAGGCCCTTTCAAAGCAGTAACAAACCTTTGCCATGGCTGCTTTACTGAGCTGCCACCTCTTGTCTCCTTCTTTCTTGTCAAATCTGAAAATAAATATCAGCCAAGTGAGCAAGCAAGTGGACTAGTATAGAAGTAGGATGAGTCTTTGGAAATAAATAAATAAATATGTATTTGACCCACAAATTGAGTTGTAATTAACCAGCTGGGAGCTATAATCACATTTTTCCAGGGGCCTGGCTGCCTTCAGGTAATTGCAGTCTGTGTGTGCTGAGGAGGATTAGAGATGGTCTTTGAAGGTGCTGCTAGGGGAAAAAGCAAGCTGTTATTGTAATGGGGGACAGCTGAGACCTGCCTTTGTTGCTGAGGCCACTGAGGCTGGCTTTCACCTTTCCTACACAACTGTGCATTTTAGAGAAAGGTACTTCCTATGCAAAATCCTTGCTCCCACAGACAGGATATCTTTGGAAAGGAACCTGCAAGTGTGATGTTTTAGGAAGGTAGTTGGGGTTACAGTCTATGTAAGTTTTCCATTCATATTTATCTGATAAAATTAACAGGTGCAGTTCTCAGAGCAAAAGGAAGGGGACCTAATTAGAATTCAGTAACTCAGTAGGGAGCCCAGCTAATGACTGCAAATGATGTAAACTGTGCCGTGAGACACCATGCCTGTTTGCACTGCTTACACCTCAGGAGATCCTGAGCAGGGAGGGAAGGGAGGGCACTGGAGGTGTTTTAAGAGGATGCCATCCCCTGGATGGTCTGTCAAGGTACTCACTGGTGACCTTTTTCCTGCTGTTGCAGAAGGTCCATCTTAGGTCCCTTTGATGCTTGTTCCAGGGCATGCAGGCTGGTGACCCTGAGGCACCTGGTGTGTCACACTCTGCCTTCCTGCCTCCTTAAATTGGGCCTTTCAGCTGCTCATGCTGTGCAAAGAGCTGGGGTGTCAGAATCCCAGACACATCCTTACAAACCATCCTTAGGCAACCTGGTCCTAGACAAGTATCTTACTTTTAGATACCAACTCCAGGAGGAAACAGTGTTTCCTGCCTGGGAAAGAGGGCAGCAGGGCTGCTGCTTCTGTAGCCTCATCCAGCAGTAATTGCTGGTTGTTGAAATGCTGAGCAAGCAAGGAAACTGGGGGGCTGTGGTCCTTTAAATATAAAGGCTGGGACTCCATAGCTGCTCACTGCTTTTCTGAGCTACCTTTTCCTACCTAGCCAAAACATTTAAAAGGAGCTTGTTAACAAAGATAAATGCATGTTAATTGCATCCTTACCGTTTTTCCCAAGAAAGTTTCAGGTTCTGAAACAAACACTAACAGCATGCTTGTTTGCTCTGAGAAGAGGAGTCAGGCATTTGCAGTGAGGAGCCGTGCTTGGAGTTCAGCAGTGAGTGGGAGACTGTGCTCAAGAGGTGCCCAAATCCCAGCTCATTAACCTGCCCACATACAAGAGCAAAATTGGTTTTGTTATTGGAGTTGTTAAATGCAGTAGTTATGATTTCTTTTTGATGGATTCTTTTAATTTCTTTTGGATCCTTCTTTAGTTTTGCTTAACAGCTTTTTAAGGCTTTTTTTTTTTTTCCCTCCTTCTGTCTTCAGCTATTGATGGATTTCTAAAAACTGATGAAAGACAAAGACTGGCAAAGGAAAGAAGAGAGGAAAGGGAGAAATACCTTGGTAAGTTGGCAGGAGGTGTATCTATTATTTATATACACTTTTAATAGGCTTAACTAACTAACATAGCATTTTTTGTGTTCTGATTTTTTTCTTGTTGTTCAGTCTGTTCCTGTTCTTTACCACTTCTTTTAACTTAAATTATAAAAGATAATATTCTTGCATTTCCAGTCAAATATTTTGTATTTTATATTTACAAGTTTACTTTCTTCTTTGATTTCTGTGCCTTTGAATATAGGTTTATGTTCAAGATACTGCTGTTATGATTGTGATTTGTGAAAATCCCAAATAAGCCTTGAATAATACTCAGAAAAATATGTAAGATGATTTGATAAAGCAACTTCAATTTTAATCTCTTTGGTTTTAGCCATATTGAAATATATAATAGAGTTTTTAAGTGCAGCATTAAATTGTGTACTTTTCTGGAAGTTGTAAAGTGGTTAATCTTTCAGGAGAATGCTTATGTTATTCAGGAACTGAAGAATGTTTTTTATCAATGATTTCAGATTTTGTTTAAAACAATTGCTTATTTTTAATCTATTAACATGACTAGGGAAATGTTGAGAGAATTTTAAAATAGATATGTAAAAAGTATAAATATATATTTAAGGGGAGTGGGTGTATACACAATTAAAACATACATATATATATATACACGTAAATTTAAATTTTCTGTTCAACATTGATTTGGACTTCCTATATCTCTCTGTGTATATAAAAAGGTGTGAAACAGTTAACTTCACTTTTCCTCGTGGTAATGACAGGAAAGATCAGTAGCACTGTTCCTAGAGATAACCTGGCAATACCTAGCAGAAGGAATTGTCAGAGTTTTATGATTTTTGCAAAATTTAAGGTATATTTTGAGGAAATGTCAACTAAACAAGTATGGGCACCTGTCAAAATAATCATAGGAAAATACTGTTTTTCTTGCAAGAAATAAACAAACTGTTGACTATTTCTTTGCAAAGTCTGGGGCTTGAGACCAGCGACTTGACATTTTTTCATTACCATGGCCTTGGTCCGCACGATTCCTTTTGGTAATTTGGTAAAAATCTGCTGCTCTTTAGTACTTAATCTTGCCCAAGCTTCTGTCTATCTGGAATTTACTTCTCTTCCAGGTATGCTCAGTGTAGGCTATTCTCTTCTTTCCTTCTGATTATCCCTTCTTTTCTGGTTCCCAAGAAAGTGATATGGTGATTAGATTGGAAAGGACTCAGAGTAGAAAAGATGAAAAGGAAACTGAAACCTGGAGATTTTGGGAGTGGTTGGCCCAGGGGATTTGGAAGGTGGTGTCTGCAATTTTCTCCCAGACATCATATATGCCTCCTGGAAGCATAATTCTTAAGACCATTTCTGTAGTGGGGAGCTTTGAGTTTTGGTCACAGTTTGATTGTGAGAATTTTCTTTTAGAAGTTCAGAAAAAAGCAGCCTGTTCCCCCAAGGGTCAGCTCTTTGAGCAGTCAGCAGGTACTGTACAGCAATATGAAGTAACTTTTTCACCTGAGCCAAAACTCATTAATCAGTGGTTTAGCATCCCTAAATTAAGCAACAAGAATTGTACATGTGTCCATGATGACAGAATTGTTTACTTCTTTGTCCAGAATCAGTCCCAGGTTTCACCTACTTACTCAGAAGGTAATCTTAGCACAATCTCTGGACACCTCACTTTATTTTTGGTTTTTATGGACTCCAGCATGCTTTGTCACCTGCTCTACCTGATGTGGCTAGCAGTTGGAGCAATTCATGCCTGGTCACTTGTTATCCACTGTCTCTGAGGTAACTTTTTCTGTTGACAAGTCTGAACTTCATGCATTCAGTCCAGGTTCACTGCATCACTGACACTCCCCTCATACTGCCCTGTCTTGAGTGAGGATGATGAGTGAATTTTCATAGGACAGAAGGGGAGGACAACACCAACTGTATTTCTGACAAGAATGAGCTAGAAGATGTTCTGGAAAGCAGGCTGGATTTGAGGAAGAAGTATTGTAGAAGGATTCTGTATTCAAGGGAAAGAAATGGAATGTTGGAAAAGGATCTGGGTGTTGGGAAGACTCTGGCTTTCACCCAGGGGAGAGAGGATGGAGTGGGGCTAAGAGGGACAGAAAGTCACAGCTGTGGTTAAAGCCTGGGGGCAGGAACTGAGGGGAAAAGGCTGATCTGGAATGGCTGGACAAGAGCCTAGGAACAGTGGGAGAGTTGGAAGGATGATGATGTGCTGCAAAAGGAAACAGGAACTGAAGAAACACAGGCATAAGTGAGCAGGAAGAAGGACTAGCTCTTGTATAAACACTGTTAATTCTGGCTTTCCCTGACTTTCATGTTCTTAGCCTAGCAATATTCCCTCTTTGATATTGGCTGTATGTGTGTTGGTATGTGACACTACAGGCTTGTGTGTATCTAGGCATGTTTACAGACCTCCTCTTTCCTGCCTTTTTATGGAATACACTTGCATGGGAAATGGATTTTACCTCTCAATTTGCCACGATAACTCCTGCTACTTGTTTTATGTACACCTGGAGCAGCAGTCCAGTATCTGTTGTTGCAGTCTGAGTTTCTGAAACATCAGGGTAATGTCCCATGAAGATTATTCCTCCAGCTGGAATAAACAGCTGGGCAAAACCTCAGTAACAGAATAATTTTTTTTTATATTAAAAGGCAGAAGTGGCACCAAATCATGAGCTGAAAGATGTATTTTCAAAACTTCATAGAAAACAGCATATGTTGTTTACATGTGTCTATTTCAAAGGCAGCTCTGTAATAAGAAGCACGGTTTTAAAGAAGTCCCAAGGGCTTTTGCTTCAACAAATACAGCTGATTTCCTTCAAAGATTACTAGGAGCAGTATGTCTGAAAAAATAATTTGGCTTTAAGCTACAGAGGGACTTGAAACATAAAAAAAATTGCTAATTTGTTCTGTACACTATTTTTTACATAGATAAGGGGTACAAACTGGCACCTTGTGTACAAGGGCTTCCCTCTTTATGTATTGCTTAGGTTTACTAATCATTTCAGCACTTCTGTCCACTATATTTTTAATCTCAGTCAACTAAAACCCTGTGTACTTGCATTTGTTGTTTTTCACTATTGTTTCATGTTACCAAATAATTTTAAAAGAGAAGAGCATTTGCCTGATATGAAATGCACCTTTTTCTCTGCACAAGCTGCTAGGGAGCAGCAGATACTGGAGAAGGAGAGAAGAGCAAAACTTCAGTATGAGAAGCAAATGGAGGAGCGATGGAGAAGGCTGGAGGAGCAGAGGCAGAGAGAGGAGCAGAAGAGAGCAGCTGTTGAAGAAAAGCGGAGACAAAAGCTTAAAGAGGAGGAGGTGAGGTCCCCTGGGAGATGTATGGCAGCACTGAACAGGGCTGAATATTGACATGCATTAAACCATGGGGGGTGGGAGCAGGACTGGAGACATGGGAGCAATTACTGCAGGAGCTGCAAAGCACATCACCACAGCTGTAAGGAGTCTACCACTGTACATCAAAAACACTTTCCAAAACAATTTTTTAAATTTTTATGATCTCCTAGAATAGTCATCTACCATTGCTAACATATCTGGGACTCTGATTGTCAAATATAAAACACCACCTTTCTGGAAAGAAGTCTTTAAAGATGAGTGTTTCCAAAAAGGGAAAGATTCTTCTTACTGTTCTGTTTACTGTCCATGAAAAAGAAATAATGTGTTGTTCCATTTTTCCTCGGTGACAGAAACTCAGAAATTTGTACTTAAAGCAGTGAAGAATCTAGACTGTTTTCAAATTCTAACATAAAACAGAATCACATATTTTTAAGCATCTTCATGCCCTTCCTCTCTTCTAGGCTCCCTGCTGAGATCATTTAAGGTTCTTTTTTTGCTCTAGTGAGTCCAATTTCTGGTGCAGCTCTCTGAATGCAGGGTGTGTGTGTATATCTCTGCATGACATTATGTGGAGAACACTAGCACTGCTACCCGCAACTGATAAAGAATTAATGATTTTTGGAAAAGGGGGCAGTGGTTTAAAAAAAAAAAAAAGCCCAAAGAAAATATTTCCTTAATTCCTGGAGAAAAAAAAGCTTTAGAAATCCACAGTTCTTAACCTCCATTTTTCTGCCCCCCTATCCTTTCACCAAAATAACTTTGCAAAACAGGTAAAACACTTCTTGTGCATGATTTCACAATAACATACAGCTATTCATTGAATTTTTTGTTTGATTTTGCACTTTACTTGAAGAGAAGATTGCATCCTGTCATTTGTTGTTCAACTTTAACATACTCATTGTGGCTTCTATGTAATGGCAGAGAATTGATTTAAAAATATTTTGTTATGTGTTTTGTTTTAAATTCTTTTAAGAAAAATGAGAAAAAACTGAAACAAAGGGTAGGAGGTCTCTCTCTTGTGGTAACAGCATTGAAGTCATGTGCTCCTTCCCCAGCATTTCCTGCTGTAATAACCTTCTGCAGCTAAGCAAAATCAATTCCCTTTGTGAGGGTTGTAAGGGGAAGGGGCAGAAAAACCCTCTGTTCAAAATATTCAGCAGAGCAGGTCAGAAAGGCAGAGAGGTGTAGGAAGAGCAAGTATCCACCAGTTTTCCCTGCATCATTCATGGTTTGCCTTTGCTGCAGAAATGAGAGCAGAGTTGTTGGATGTGAGAGGCAGTGACAGGTCAGACCCAAGGCGTCTGTTTAGTGGGGGCCGACCCCATCTCCTGTAGTGGCCTCCTGTACTTCCCCAGAGATGGAATAAGAGCCTGAGCACTCTGTGATGCTTTTCCCAAGCAGCAGTGAGCCTGATCCAGCTCCTCAGGACCCTGCACGTGTGAGGGCAGGCTTCTGTAATGGTGAGGGAGAGGCTGATTCCCAGTGTTCAGTCATGGTGTGAGTACCACTCCTAGCTCTGCTCAGCAGGCTGGTCCCTTATGCTTAAAGTGTCCAAAGTCTTTTTTGGCAGCTGAAGCAGGCCTGGAACTGGATTCTTTCCCTTTCCTTCCCACTCCTCTACTCCCCCAGGCTGAGGAGTCTGAGAGAAGGTTGTGTGGGCAGAAGGACAGGAGAGGATGCTTGTTTGTTTGGGGATGGATTAAACCTGTGGGAGGAAAGTTCAGAAGCCTCAGAAGAGGATGCACAGGGGAATAATCTATAGAACAGGGGAGAGTGAGAGAAGAAGGAAAATGGGAATAGAAGGCATCCCTCCTAGCTTGCCTTCACAGTTTCTTGTCCTTCATTTTTCAAATTCTGTTTGAATTTTGCTAAAGGATCTGCCAGTTTAGTTCCACCATCCCCAACTCTTGTTATTGTGATGGACCCCTCAAACTCTCGTGCATAATAACTGTGGAGGTCTGAGTAAGGATGGTGATGAACTTGCAGCTCCCTGGGCATTTGAGTTACTCACTGCTTGTGAGTAATTTTGGCTATTTAAGACTGTCTTTACTGGAAGAGCTTTGAACATGTATTTCCCCCACCTGGGGTGTGGGGGTGGATGTGCCCTGCCAGAGAGCCAGTGTGTGCTGCACCATCTTCTCAGTGTTTCTCCTTTTAAGACCAGTTAACACTGGCTGGGTACTGGACTACCCATTTTACTTGCTCATCAGGTGTCTGAAATGACAAGTAGAGAGATTTTCTTGCTCTCTGTCTTACTGGTTGTCCTTTATAGTTTGCTTGAATTATTTTTCCTTGTCTTTTAAACAGAGCAGAAAGTAGTGCACATTCATGATAGGAAGAGGTGATATAAATCTCTCTGTGCAAAATACTGTTGTTGCATTTGAAAGAATCTGAGAGGAATAGATCTTAACAAACTGGTGGGGACTTGTTGGCTCCTATATCAGAGCATCCTGTGCTCGACTGTTTTGCTTACAAAGGACTTCTTAAAGTGGTGGCTAAAATTTGATTTATTTTGCTTAGTTTTCCCCCTCTACAATGCCAGATAAAGGATGATGGTTTTAAACTCTCTCTTGGTAGAAATCAAGGTATTCTGTCAGAGTTTTTTGGGGCTGCTGGAGGTTGTTGCAGAGCACAGTAAAAGTGTCAGATTCTTCAGAAGGAACTGAATAAATAATGTTTAGAAATTATTCTGTTTATATTGACTGCATCTTTCTTATCTACAGAGGTCTTCAGTATCACTGCCCTTCCCTTCGTATTACTTTTAAAGCTGTGCACTTCTTTCAGTAAAAGCAGCTCTACAGAAGTGATTTAAAAGTTTCTTTTTACAGGGAACTAGACAAAAATAAAGCTAGTGCTTTTTCAGTTAAAGTAATTCTTTTCCCTTTCCTGTCTTGAACTTCCATGTAACTTGGAAATACCTTGTTAATAGATGTCTAGCTGTAGACAGGTTATTGAGAAGAGATTGTCTTGGTGCATGTGCACTTTGTTACATTTGTAAATAGTATGTGTTTTGGCGCAAAAGAGTGAAAAACTCTTAAGATGATGTAGCTTTAATTACTTCCTGTACTCCACTCCAAAGATGAAGCCAACTGATAATCTCAGGAAACAGTGAGCTACTTGCATACAGTGCTATATGTAAAATGAGGAGAAAGAGATGGTTTGGACCTCTTTCAGATGTTTGTCTTGTAGATATAAGGAGATTGGTTTAGAATTATTTGCACAAATTATTTTAAGTCAAAATACTTAAAACATTTTTTTATTCCTTGTCACATCTGTGTTATATTTTACACAGAAAAAAGGAAATAACTTATTTGTGAGAAAACAAGTCATTTGACTGCGTTTTTAGGGGTGGGATTTTGTTTGCTTTTAATTCAGACAGTACAAGTGCTTATTCTATTGCTCAGGCTGAGGAAAATTTACATGAGTAACTGGATTTTGGAAAGTAATGTGTATTTTAGATGTTAGCAGTAGATGGCTCTCTATTGTGATTTTATTCATTCTTAGTTTAACCTACATGCAGTGCTTGTGCATGATAAAGTTTGTTGTGAAAATTCAGTATATCTTGAGAGCAGACATTGTTTCCTCTATCTGTAGCTGTTAGAGCTCCCAAATGAGATCACATGCGTAGTCTGATATGATTTCAAGAAAGTGCTTCACCGAGAACATAGACTGGAAGGGTTTTCCGCATTGTTTGCTGATAAAGGAAAGCTTTGTCTTGTGGTTTAGTTTTCATCATGGAACAAATTATTAATGTATGAGTTGTTTATGCTATGCTTGCTTATGTCTTATTATTTTCTTTGGCTTTTTAGTTCTGTGCCAACTTAAAATGCTTTTAATAACTATCCTTTCTTTGTGAAAAGCAGCCTTCGTATTGTTCTTTATCTAACCTATATCTGCAGAGGTTTTGTGAGTTTTAATAATTGTATTCTATAGTAGTCTAATGAAAGGTTCTTTGCAAATGAAAATGAATGATCCTCTCCAAATAATGTAACTGAAGATTTCAACCTCAGATTGTAGGTAGCATGGGCTTTCAAATGTGTATGAAATGTAATTTAATGTCTTTAATCTATTTCAGCATGAATTTTATTCTTGAAACAATATTTTGATAGTAGGTGGTATAAGTGTATTCTGTGTTTTGCAAACTACAGAATATTGCTTACTCCAAGCTTTGTTAAAAACCCTCAAACAAGACAGCAAACAGAAATAATTGAAACATGACTGCTTTAGTCTTATATTTTTTGATTAATGAATAACAATATTCATTAGAAATGGAAAAAAAAAAGGTTCTGGGTAAGAGTATACTTTAATGAGAAAGAAATGGGAGGGTGATTTTCCTTGGTAAAAAATGTGGGTAGAAGGATAGACTAGGGCAAGCCGCATAGTAGAAGAAAGTGGTGAAAAGAGGCACACTGCAGAGAGGAACTGGTGATGAAATATGTGAGGTTTGGAAAGACTAACAAAAGGGGCTCAAACAGAATTAGGTTAGAGAGGTGGAGAGCTAAAGGTGAAAAAGCACAAACTTGTAAACAAAGCCTGCGCACACAGGATTTAAATTTGAAATTTGTATCATGAAGTAGTAAGAGAAGAAAGAAATTCTGTAACAAACTAAAGCAGAGGGGACTGACTTCAGATTCCAGAGAATGGAAAAAGATTGTTTCCTTTTCACCGGCAGGGTGTGTGTAAGAAGGGAATGGGGTGTTCAGGCTGTGGGGGTTTCTGTGCTCTTGCAGAAGAGGCTGCGCTTGAGCCTTGTGGTGCTTCCTTCATTTGCTCTGTAGGGACAAGGAAAGAGACAGAGCTCTCATTTTCATGCCTGCCTGGACACTGATGGCACTGAGTAGACAGAGGAGGGGGATGAAGCGGGGGAGGGAGCAGAGGAGCAGCTGCCTGCTCTCAGTGGCCTTTGAATGATGTTACCTGATAGACCGTGAGCTCACAGCACCACTGAAAGCTCCTCTTCCTGGGCACAGCAGCAGAAACAGCAGGGTGGGTCACCTGGCCAAAAGGTAACAGGGACAGGAGAGCTGGGAATGATAGAGGGTGCAAGAATTTCCTTTCTTCACTCTTTGTATAGAGGGTAATAGAATATTTTATAGTGCAAGTGATTTGTAATAAAATTAGAAGAGAGCTTAAAGATTAAAAGGTAGTGGCTTGCTGTTGATACTGATGGATAACTGGTAGCAGGGTTGGGTGAGGTGGAAAAAATAAGCTCAGAAATAAATTCCTGAAAGTCATGGTAGTAGAAAAGAGTCTTCAAAGATGTGGAAGAGGCAGAAATATATTTTAGATAACCAGAAGTAGATGAGGGGACATCAGGCAATGTAGAAAGTCAGTGACCAGGGTCAGAAGCCCTGGAGGGTAAGACAAAGTTTACAGGTACGTGTATAAAGTATGGAGGTTACTGGAGGTGCCTGATGTTAGGGTCTGATGTGCTGGAGGAGCTCCATCAGAGACAACTGGCTCAGCACCAGTGCAGAGCCTGGAGGAAACACACTTAAACAAAGACTGAAATTTTTTGGTAAAATAGCTCAGGAAAGCCAGACCAAAGGTATTAATCAGTGAGAGAAAGTAATCTGGCCAAGAGATGTATGAAGGGTTTTCCACACAATTTATCTGAGCTGCCAAAAGATATTGGAGTTAAAAATCAAAATGGGTATGATGTAATCACAGGAGCCTGCAGGATCCAGCTTGAAGTGGATAAGAGTGGGAGTTTTATACTAGACCAAAAGGACATAGCAAAGGTAATAAGGAATAGCACCAAAAATACTAATAGGATCAAAGGGCTAAAACTAGCTGGGGCAGGAGCTGGAGGCAGCAAGAGTAGACTTATCTTTCACAGTAGGGGTTGGGCTGCTGAAATGTGAGGGTGAGGAGGTTGCCAGATGAGAATGAGGTGCTGGGAGGAGGAAGGGAAGAGGCTGTTAGATGATGGAATTGTGGGTGGGGAAGAACCACATTTTATCTGCTTGAAAGGAGGAAAAGAAAAAGTGCAGGGATCATTGCCACAACAATAAATCACTGAGAAACTAGCAGAGGGAGGAGGTGGGAATGAAACTCAGTGGAGGTTTTTGAGAGTCAAGAGGTGATGGAGAGGGAATAAAGTGACCATATTTAGCTGTAAGTTAAAGGTAGAGCAAGATTTGGGGAGAGAAAAAATTAATTCTGTTCTTCCCCCTGTGAAAATCCTAACTCATGGAGAAGAACATGGGAGTGGCAGGGGGATAAAGGAAATCTTGGGAGCAGTATGAGGTAGGCATGCACTAAAATAAATCCACAGAGAAGAAAAAAAATCAGAAGATCTTAAATGCCTAGATTTAAGAAACATAAAAGAAGAAAGGAGGGAGTTTTTGTAAAAATAAATAAATAAGTAGGGCATCCTGCAAAGTAACCTACTTTGGGTTTGAAGTGATCATTTATCTGAGTGACTAGGTGGAGCCACTGGCATTGCAGCAATTTAACTGTGCTCAGAAAGGGATGGGAAAAAATTCTGATGTCTGCATAGACAAGAAGGAGTTAATGCTTGGTGAGCATTATTCTTATACAAATTAAGTCCAGAGCACAGCAGCAGCCTCACCAGCAGGAGCAGATGCTAGGCAGTGATGCAACCTGTGTTATTTACTTAGGCCTCTGTAGTGACCTCAGTGGCTTGCAGACAAAGGATACTCATATCTGGAGGTAGGTAGCATGCTGATCCCTTCTTTATTCAGTTCTTTTTCTTTTATTGTGAGCAAGCTCCTGTAAGCATCTTGTGTGGAGCAACAGGGAGACTGTGTATTTTTAGCGTGGTTTCAGCAGGCAGGGGAAGGAAGCCCCCAGAGAACTGACTGGGATTTGTGTCTGACTGGGGTTTGTACCAAATTCCCAGGAGCGTTTAGAAGCCATGATGCGCCGGTCCCTCGAACGCAGCCAGCAGCTGGAACAGAAGCAGAAGCGATGGTCGTGGGGAGGAGCACTGGCTGCAGGCTCAGGAGGCAGAGATGGTGAGTGAAACAGGCTGCCTGCATTGCAGATCTGCAAGTGCAAAATGCATGAGATTGTGGAGATAGTAAGTACGATGGGTTTAGAGTCAGGGTGGTACCGCTGCCTTGGGGCGTGAGTAAGTGCTTTGTAATTGCTTGCCGGGCTTCCTCTCCCTAATACCTTCTGTGGAGACAGGTTCCTCCTAACTTTAGGAATGCAGATCGTTTTAATAGAGTAAGCAGAATCAGTTTGGAGGATGCTAAATGCTAAAATTAAAATTGGTGCACTGTCTCCCTTAATAGCTTCTTCCACATTGTCTTCTCCTGCACACAGTTAGCAAATTTAATATTCACCAAAGGACTGAGCGCTGTCTAAGGCTTGCAAAAGATGTTCTGTTTTTGTTTAGTACTTCTAAAAACCTGATGGGAATTTCTAGATGACTATGCAGCATGTGCAGTTTAAAATAGTTTGTGTTTTTTCCCCATGTACATTCTGTTACTGCTATTTTGGCTTTGGCTTCAGAGGAAATTCCTTTTATTACATAATGAGTCATGTGCTGCTTTTATATTTCAGAAAGGTGCATGTTTTCTCTTTTAAATCATAAAATTTATTTGAATTTATCAGGTTTGAATAAACTGATGTGATAGGGAAAAACATCCATGTTTGGGTGTTGATGAAATATAACAATTACTCTCTTTTAAACAGTGTTTAAGTATACTTAACTTTAAAAAGACAAACTGTTTCATATCATAGTTTTCGTGATATGTCATTAAAAAAGCCAGGAAATTATAATAATGAAAAAAGTCTTATACTTTGAGAAAGAAACCAGTTTTCTTTGTGATACAGTTTGTGCTTAATTCCAGCTCCCCCAACTTATTCAGTAATTTCTTTCACCTCTTTTTGCTCTGATTTCTCTGCTGTGTAGGTGAATCAGAAAATACCCCACCCCCTGTTCTAGGTTTAGCTGCCAACACCCTTCCTCCAGACCCTGTGACCTCTACTGCTCCTGCTGATTCCTTCAATGGTATTTCAGAGAATCACAGTACCATTGTGTCTTGTTTATAACTGTTCTAATCACTGTAACCCATCCACTGATTCTTGTTCTTCTTAATCACTGTTTTCTTATCATTTCAGTCTGCTACTCTACAGCATTACCCTTAGTGATGTAGACCAGTGTCTTTTAATTTCCTTTTAATTTTGCCATGGTGGAGCAGTGCATGCCTCACATTCCAGCATAATAGAGGCATTTCATGGTTTTCTCAGTAACTGTAGACTTCTACTGCTCAGATTTTAATTTTTTTCAATTCTGTGGGTGCTCTGTGTGTGTGTGTGTAATTACATGTATATTTGACAGTTCTAATGGATGTGCGCAGGTGCTGTTGAGAAAAATTTCAGTTGCACAGTAAGAAAATGTGTTATGAAGACCATGTTTCATTAAAACAGCCCTCTTTTTCTATCTCAAGGGCCTTCTGCAATATTTTGAGAACAAGCAAATTTGGTACAAACAGCCATGTTATGTTTTCAGCTTCCTAGAACAAATTATGACCAACTCAAGTGGTTGACATTGTTTAAGCAATCATGTTTTCTATTATTCAGGTTTAGTTTGTTTTTGTTTTTTGTTTTTGTGGGGTTTTTTTAGTGGTGTTTTATTTGTGGTTTTTTTATTATTATTATTCCCATAAAAGGGTTCTGAAGTATGAGTTCTCCAAACTAACAAATGGATTGCATGTAGGAATTCAAATTGAAAATGTGATTTCATGATTGCAAATGTACTTGGTAGTTTGAAAAGAAAACACAGCCTGTGCTTTTGAGAAGTAGGTTTGTTCTCTCCCCCAAAGGAGGACTTGTTTGGCTATTACTCCTGCAGAATTCACAGTAAATACTGTTCTGCCTATGATCTCACAGAATTAATATTTCTGTGCAAACATATTCAATTTTTTTACTGATTGTTGTTCATATGCAAAGATATTTGCCTGTGCAACTGATGTTTTGCAGCATACCAGCATTATATATGCATTTTTAAAAAAGGAAATGTAGTGAATTGCATTGTTTACTGTAGCAGATGCAGCCAAATCTTGGAAACCCCACTAAGGCAATGATTTGGTGGACATAATAGGGAATGCAGTAACCTAGAAGATGCAGAATTAAGGTCACATACATGTCTCTAGCTGAAAATTAGTTTTGATTTTGAAAGAAATAAAATTCAAATGTAGGGGACAAAGCGTCTGTGCTTTTAGCTTCTGTGTATCATACAGTGATCATGACGTACTAGTACTCTGCTAATACTTGAATAAGATTTCTCTTTCATTCACTTGAATAAATCCCAAGGTAGGAAATTTATATTATGCTCAAGCAGACTTTATCAAATAGTATTTCAGAAGAAAAATACCAAAAAACCTCTGGTTTTTTGTTTGTTTGTTTGTTTTCTTTAGTTCTTCTCAAGCACAAAAAGATAAAGCCAAATGGCTGATGCCAGCTCAGTCATTAAAACAGTGAGGTCTTATATAGATGCACAAATGTTGCTTATGTCATTTTCTTATTAGAGTAATGTCTGATGTGAACTTCAGCTCTTCCAGACTGAAGGTAGAGGGGAGGGGGAATGAAGACGAGCTCAGAGTTGCCATGTGTGCAGTTTGTTTTCTTTGGGTAACTTTATGCTTGTGCTGATATATAATTATTTATCAGTGTCAGTATAAAAAATAGGCTTTTGTGAAACTGGAATGTGAAATTCACAAGCAGAAAAGCTGCATGCCAAAGCATGTGTCACAGGGTGCTGGTCCTCAGTGGTCACAAAGAGCTCATCTCATGTGCCCGCTGCTCTCTGTGAAGAGAGCTGCGGCCACAATCTTCGTGCCAGTTCAGCGCTATCATCAGTGCAAGGCCACAAGTACAGATGCAAGGTTAATTTTTGGAGTTTATCAACGCTGTGGTGTGAATACAAATATCTTCAATGCGTTTTTCTGCAGCATGTGACAAACTTTCAGCTTCTACAATGAATCTGCCAAAGCAAATGGAGTCGCCGATCAGTAAACGCCTCTCGTCCTCCACGGCGGCCATAACGCACTCCCCCGACAGAGGCAAGTGAACCTGCTGGTCTCCTGCCAGCATCAGCTCTCCTTCTGCTTAGAGCACTTCTGCTCCGTAGAGCTTTGGGCTTTGCTTATGTCTGTTATTCAAACATCTGAGAGATTCTGTCTTAATAGCATGGTTCTGCAGCCTGTCCCAAGGCTGTGCTGCCTGCTGGAGATCATAGTCCAGCACAAATGCCATGGGCTTTTACTGATTCTTTTCCAAATTTTGATACTCCAGCAAACCAGGTTGTAACTACAGGCTGCGACTGCAGCAATTTCCTTTAACTGTATTGCTTGTGACCTTCTATCAAAATAAGGAAAAACAAGCAAAGCAACGGTGTAGCCTGGCAGTAGATATGGGGGGATATGTCTGATGAGCCACCTGGGAGACTTCAATCTGGTGACCAGAGTTGTAGAGCCCCTTAATTTCGTACGAAACTGATCCTCAAGTGACTCCACAAAAGATGATGAAGATGATCATCTTGTAGGATTAGTGGTTGCTAAACACTACAAAGGGGACTGAAGGGTTTATCTCACTGTGAACTCTTTGACTGCAGCAATTTCCTTTAACTGTATTGCTTGTGACCTTCTATCAAAATAAGGAAAAACAAGCAAAGCAACGGTGTAGCCTGGCAGTAGATATGGGGGGATATGTCTGATGAGCCACCTGGGAGACTTCAATCTGGTGACCAGAGTTGTAGAGCCCCTTAATTTCGTACGAAACTGATCCTCAAGTGACTCCACAAAAGATGATGAAGATGATCATCTTGTAGGATTAGTGGTTGCTAAACACTACAAAGGGGACTGAAGGGTTTATCTCACTGTGAACTCTTTGGATTTTTTTAGGTTTATGTTGTGTTTTATTTAGGTTTTATTTCTTTCTACCCCTTTTTTTTTAAGTCTAATGGGAAAAAATATATTTACTGAAATAAATTATGGAGGTTTGTTTCTAGAATGAGAAAGAGAAGGTAAATTTATTTTAATTTTTGAATTGCTTAAGCTCATCAGAAGCTTTGAGGTTATTATGACAGATGGCTATATATACATGTAATAGGAACATCTATATATATGTCTTATATAGTTGACACTTATATTTCTGGAGCAGGAAGTAATGCAGGCATATTGTATAAATAAGACTTACGTAACATGGTGAGATGGCAGATTTCAAATGCAGTCCCAGCACGGGTGGCACATCAGTGAGCAGCTGAGCTGTTTACCAAGTGTTTTACCTTTCCTGCTGGGGAAGAAGACAAACTTTTTTAGTGCTGAGTCATGAAAGCAACCATTTTGCAGAATGTAACATGCCTCTTGAGTAAAATCAACATACAACATGAGCTTAACCTTACAGTGTGTAGTGCATCAGTGGGAAACTTAAAACAATGGAGAAATTAGAAGGTTTTTTTTAGAGGGAATGAAAATTATCTTCAAGTATTTTAAATCTCAGAAAGTTCTAGAATATTTTGTCATTTCATTTCATCATTTCATCATTTTGTTTCAGTTATTTCAATGTAACATTGTTTTATTTCTTTGCATTTTAAATTTTATTTTATTTGCTCCCATCCTTCAGCTCACCGCATGCATCTTAGTCCAATGGAAAACTTTATTGTTTCTCGACTGCTGACTCCCACACAGTCATCTTTAGCCAGAAGCAGAAGTACATTAATGCTTTCTGAGCAGTACAATACTCCAGGTAAAAATGTGACTTCATCACTTTGAAACCACTGAAGTATGTTTTAGCTGCATTTATGTAGCTGCTGGAAGAAACAGAGTACTATGAAACAAATGGCAATTTACAGGATACTGTAAAATCAATGATGAAGTAAGTTGTTTCAGATAGTAGTGTATTTAAAATCTTTGAAAAGCACATTATCTTGTCTGTGCTATTCTGAATACCTATTTTAGAAAAAAAAATCATTAATACTGCAGACTATCAAGAAAATAATATATTCATTTAAGAAACAGGTTTTTAGACAAGGATGTGACAACTCTCGGAGGCTTTGGTTGATTTATTAATGTCAGCCCTGTCATACCTGGATAGTATGTAGAACAAAAATCCCAGTGCACCACTGAGACTTAATTATTTTTACCAGGGTTCCAATTTCTATCTATTAAGTATCTTTTTTACCTTTAACTGTGTGACTGTGTATATGTGACACATTTACACCTATATGTATGTATAGGTGTAAATGCACATACAGAAAACCAGACTATTGATAGGAAGGTGTCAGTTACAGAAATTATTGATCTTTAAGGGATGATAATTACCATTCCTATGTGCAAAGGGGAGACTAATAAAACCAGTATTTTGCAAACAGCTACAAAAATAATGTTTCCAGTCCTGCTAATACTTGGGCAAGTGCCTGACTTTGAGTAGTTTCTGTTTATAAAGCCATACCTGGTCATAGCATTGGCTGAAACTAGACAAAAGTTTAACAGCCCTTTTTACTTTTAATTGAACAAACAAACAAAAAAAGCCCCCCAAAGCATGCACCCAAATGCCTGTCTGCAAAAGATTAAACTATTTAGATGATAAAGACACTTTTCCAAGATTAAACTATTTAGATGATAACGACAGATCATCTTTATGATGAGTGTTTTCACACATCTTGGTTAAACTAGGCTTAAGTTCTGTAGCTGTGTTTTTCATGCAAAGCTATTTAGAAATGAATTGCTCAGTAAACCTACTTTCCCTTGTCCATTTCTTATCTGTTCAGTGCATAGGGACATTGATACTGAATGCCTCTAAAATTGCTTCCCTTGTTTCTAGATTAAAAACAGCCTCTGCTGGAAGCAGAAATGTTTTCATATAGTCCTTGAGAAAGTGCCTGATTTGGTTACTGCTCAGGGACCAGCTACTGTCAAGAGTGAGCAAAACCCAAGTCAAAATTAGATCAGTACATTCTGCTTAAGATTTTGAACTGAATTGCTGAGGCCCTCTGTGGTTGATTTTTTTCTGTTTTGTATTTGATTTCCAAGAAATCAATAAGGATGACTTTTGTCCTTCCTCACTCATTTTGTTTGTAAACTCTCGGGTTTATCTCTCTTCATCACACGATCTTTAAAGTAATACACTGGCATGTCTGACAAGGGTACAATTTGTTCTGAAAACTCCTTTTTCATTGAGCTGAAACAGGGCAGCTGATTTTGGGAACAGCTTTTTGAACCAGCATTCTCTTGTCATTTCCCCACAAGTCAATCAGGCTGTAGCACAGGTTGCAAACAACAATCTCAGAGGCCATTGACATTTTGTCAGTAATTGCTGGCAAAATAGTTGAAGGACATCTCCCATTTGTCATGTACTTCTCACCACAGAAATAGCTTCTGAATAAAGAAGAGGGATCTTCCTGTCCAGGAGCTCATGCTGTGCCTCCTGTCATTATGCTGGGGTCAAAATTGCTCTGCTACTGAATTTTCTGTAAGCTTAGAAATGAGGAGCCTCAATTTCAGACTCTACAGCAACACATTATTAATGTCACTCGAAGTCAAGATGTTCAGGCACACAATTGTTACTGGATGCAGAATTAATTCTTTTAACAGTTGAAGTAAAAATATTTCTCTTAGGCAGCTTTTAAGTTTCTGAATGTTTTTGTTAATATAAAGTGACCTTATGCCAGTTGGCTGGAAAGTGGGTCAAAGAGTACAAAGGTCCAGTTAAACTTCAAAGTATTCAAAAAGGCTTCATAAAAATTTTATTAGGGCTGTCTCCAGTAAAAAAAATTGGGAACGTGACTTTCTTTACATTAGTGCATAATTGCTGCTTTTTCTAAGTCAATATCCCTTCTGACTTTAGTTGACTAAAATTGGAAACATTCTATCTCTTGATTGCAATTAGTGTCTGTCTTATTGATAAAACATATTTTCTGTTGATTGTTCTGTATGTATGTGAAAGTTTCATCTTAGAAGGCAATATGAGCAAAATCAGGAGTAAAATATCCCATTAAAAATTCCTGTTCATATTGCAAATAAAAAAAGTTGCCCTATAAGCTGTAATGCATGTGTCACACTCAAATTGATGTCTCCCTCAAATAACAATAACTGAAATACCTACAGCAGTATTTAGGTTTGGGGGCTTTTTTATTTTTTTTATTAAATCTTATTTGGAAAGTAATTAACATATTTAGGAGCCTTTGCATGTTTAGGGTTTAAAAAAGACAAAACTCCCTATGCTTCTGTCACCTTTCCTGTTTTGCAGTATGGGTTCAAAAGTCACCCAGTTAGCATTATCTGCTTACTCTTTTTATCATATGCAAAGGTTGGACTTCTTAGAAGAAAAAAGAGTCACAGTATTAGTCAATTGGTGATTCAAAAGGTGTATGAGGAAAAGAGTATTATATTTTAGAGATAATTTTTTCCTGTAAAATGTTTTAGTCAAGACATTTTTAATAAACAGAGGATCACGTTGAATGCATTATATGTGATATTTTAAAACACTAAAAACCACTTTAAAACTACCTTTGAACATTATAACATAAAAGTATGCTGTTTTCTCCCCTCCTTTACTTCCTCTATCCGTGCTCCTTTTTGCTCTTGCTATTGTACTATAACTCTTTAGTATTCCATATCTGTCCTCGTGTAGCACCAGCTAGTCCTCTTAAATCTCCCTACAAGCCTTCCCCCACCCGAAGCACCGACAGGAAGAAGGCAACTTCACCCTCCACTGCCAATGCCATGAAAGGGGCACCTGCAGCTGAAGTTACTCAGGTGAGTTTGTAATGGTTTTGATTTCACTGCTGGGTAAACTGATGCAGCCTCTGCTTGTTATCTTTCACTCTACATTAATAGAAATGAAGTGCTTCCCCTGCTATAGGAAACAGCAGTAGAAAAGTGAGCTGTGCCAACACCTGTTGTCTTTGTGCTCCTGTTAAGGTGCATTTCACTATCTTCTTCCTCCTGGGAATCAGTGCTGAGTGCTGGTATTGGAACACTAGCACCCCTATTTTCAGAGAACTGAGGCACTGAAGTGTATGTTTTTGGACTTGTTTATAACTTCTGGGAATGGGGATGACAAATAGAATTCCCTCCTGAGTATGATTATCCAGGCTTGCTGGTTAATGAGCAAGCTTCATATATTTCATCAATTCCCCAAGTGTATTGATAATGCCTCTGTTTTACACCAATTGCTTTAACTCTTTCTGTGGACATTTTTAATGCTGTTTGCTTAAAAGATGCATTATCGATCCACTGTTGTTTCCAGAAAAGAAAAGGCAAGTCACTCCCCTTCACTGAGTCTACACAGCTGAAGGCATGCTTTAAAAAAAAAAAAATCTGTGTTAGGGCTATAATATTCATGTAAGATCCTGTGTCTTGTAATACTTAATGTTAGGGGGAATCATGCCACCTAAATTAGCTGCAAGTGAGAGAACCAAAGCTGGCAATAAGGATTTGTGTAATGTCCTTCTTAGGTGTGATTCAGTGCTACATGCAGCAACATTTCTGTGAGATGCCTGTTTGCACTGCTGATCATGTCTAAGCAGAGGCATGTGGATGATTTTGAAGATTCCACGCAGTGCCACCACCCCATCCAAGAGCTCTTGCAGAGGCTGTGATGTGTATTACTTATCTGAAATTTGCATGCTCTATCCATGCAAGACAGGGGTGGGTGTGTGCTATGTCTATGTAAAATAAAAAACTATTAATAGCACCTCACTTGTGAGCTGCCTGTTGTAAAAGCTTTTACAAGTGTGCCACACAAATCTCTTTATATACCAGCTTGCTAATAAAACAATCAAATGCATTTTTGATTTATTGATCCTAATTATGGAAATGAAAATCAACTGTGCTTCTAGACTGAGAAGATAAAGAAGGAGAAGCGACCTGCAACACCTGGTTCCTCATCTGGTATGGGATCTCCTCTGAGAAGGTCTGATTCTCCTGCTGCTATATCCAGAAGATCTGCATCACCTGCAACACCTAAGTATGCTTTTCTTAGTGGAAAAATATCCTGTGAATTTCTCATTACCTGTAAATAAGGCACAGATTCTTGAGGAACTTCCTTTGAAGTGTTGTATAAAATCTAGTTAATTTTATTAATACGTACACACATATACAGATGGGTGAGAGGAGAGGTGTAGATGACAAATCTGATATCTGTAATATTGTGGTAGTACCCACTAGAGACAGTTCTCTCTACCTTTCCTCAGTCTTGAGATTACAGTGCATTTTATTATTCATATGAAACTTTACTTCACATTTATTTTTAAATATGATTTTTTTGTTGTTTGATTTTGAAGAAACATCCTAATGTGATGAAATGCACTCATCATGAATACTAACTAGAAATTCCAGCATTTAATATATGCATTTCCTATTGTTGGCATGACCATCTGGTGCCATAAATACACTTTACTGTGTGTCATCTAAGCCATTGGTTTTAACCTTTGCTCATTTGCAGACCTCTGGTTTTGTTGTGCCTTTTGCTTCTTTTCTTTTAATGCAGAGCTGTGGTTCTATAGCATATCTGGGCTTACTGACAACTGACTTGCTTTTCTTGATTGTCTTTTGCTGAAAACTGTTTTATGTGTACCACAGCTTGAAACTCAAATCTAAGCAAATGGGTTTCTTAGAACAGAATATTAAGTCTGGCTCTAATGTAGGAGTATGCTGAAGAAGTCCTGGTCTACTGTACTTACCTAATTTATTTGGCTGGTTGATTGGTTTGGACTTTTTCCCTTAGACCTTGTTTATGAGTGCCACTTCTGTCTTGAAAATTGTCTTTTTTATCTTTTTTAATATGAAGCTGGCCATATTTTGAACCAGACTTGATGATCCCCTTTCTGACAAATTTCTTCTGCCTGAAAAACCAGCTGGTGTTCCTTTTCTCTTTCAGCTCTGAGGGCATAGCCCTTTAGTGGGGGATGATTTTGTGTGTGAATCTGATGTTAGACAACATAAGGAAACCATCTGACTCTCAGCATTCTTTCTGCTTTAGACATCCCCTTGCATGTAACTGGGACACTGCGTTTCTTGGTTTTTCTTATAAAGCTACAAATTCTCAAACTTCCAATATTATATATGTAATGTCATCAGATTCTGTGGTATAAACTACATCCATTTTGTGAAAAATTTAATGAAATGCAGTGGTAATGACAGTCAGCTTTCTTATCACAGTTTTGAGCAGATCATTGTCTAGTGGAACTCTGCAATATAAAGTTAAAAAAAAGTTTGAGCTGTAAGACTCTATATTATTCTGCAAGTACTGATACTCCCTGCTCAGAATGCATTTTTCTGTTTGTTCAGTATAAGAGTAAAGTATAAGAAACAGAGACCCACCAAGAGACACACTTAGACACTTACTTAAGCAAAATGACTGGTGGGAGTCAAGTGCTGCTTGCTGGGCAGGCAAAGGTTAGTGCAGATCATCAGAGAATGTCCAGTGGTTAAAAGTTATTTGGAGACAGCTCTTTAGTGCTTTGTGGAAAATGCATGCCCAGTCTTAATTTGAAGTGCTAATTTCGATAAAAGATTAGGAAATTATGAAGAATTTTTTTCCCAGAGGTGCAAATTATAATCTTTGTACAGGAAAATATTTTCATGCCTATAAGGAGTACTGTTTTTAGAAGAAGAAACAGATGCTGCATGGAGGAATTAAGAAGCCTACTGGTGGGTTTTTCTGGGACTGTGAGCCACAGTAGTGATCCCATTTTTCCCCTCCTTCTCTTTTTCAAGGGAATCTGATTCTGACCATGTCTAGGAATGTATTACTGAGCGTTTAATCTTAATGTGGCCCAATTAGAACACCCTTCTTGACCTTATGAGAGATACAGTAAATAGAGTTTAAATCCCTGTTTGTTACTGATTGCAGAGAGTTCTGCTTCAGCACTTTCAAAACTTCCCCTCATAATTCTATAAATAAAAGTGTGCTAATGACCATATTGTATTATTATATATAGATTGTATTAGTGATAATATATGTATTTTTTCATACAACTCAAATTCCACTGTTAATTTTCATTGAGGAGATAAGATTATACAATCTAAAGGAAAGTTCCAAAAGCATTACTGCCTGTATTTAAATCCACTAACCAGCAAGATCATTATCTGATATTCAAGTATAATTTTAGTCTGACTAAATATGTATACAAATACTTGTTCTCCTTGCAAACCTAACAATCTTTTATATGTTTAATCTTTCTCCTTCTAGCACTCTATATGACAAAAAATACCCTGGAAGAAATAAGAATACATATTGTACAGCATTAGTAGTTAGTGATCCTGCATAGCACCTTAACCTTTAAAGCTGTTGAGGAAAGAATCAAGTATGGCCAGTGATTTACATGACAATTAGCTGTATGCATTTCTTTTTTTAAGAATATGTGACTTGGCATTTAAGTTTTCTTGGTATTGTTCTAGTTATCAGTTCTTCACAGTTGTCATCTTCGTTTCTGAGTGGCAGTAAGTTGTCTTCTAAATATGTTATTTCATTATTTATTAAATGAAAAGCTCTTTTAATCATGGTAAAGTAACTGAAACAGGATCAAACAAGACAATAAAACCTCAGCCTAAAGAGGCCCAGTGATTAATGGCAGAAGAGAGTTGCAGTAATTACATAAATAAAATACTAATGTTTTAAATGGGCAAATTTTACTGAGAAAGCAAAATAGGTTAGCCCAGAAACATAACATCTGACATGAGTGAACAGATACAGATATAAAAAGGAGAAAAGGGGAAAAAATCAAAATATGCTGAGCAACAGTTAAAAGTAGGGAAGGAATTCAAAACATGATGTTTTTTGGAAAAGTAAATATGTCAAGAAATGTCACAGAAAGAAATCCTAAATTATTATTTTGAATCTTAATGTGGATAAGATGAAAGTTAATGGATTAGGTGTTTGAACAATTGAGAAATTGTCTTCAATTTTTTTCAATTGCTATTGGATACTGATGGTGTAAAGTGCTCATTTTCTTCAGATCTCTCACAGGATCAATAACAACAGGATGAGGGGTTTGGGTCATTTTTTGTTTTATGCTTTATCTTCAAAGATCTGTGTGTTAATCAGTTTTTTCCTGCAGTATCCCTCAGAGAATAGGTAAGTGTGCTTTCTTACTGATCAGGGAGGCAGTAAAGCCTGTGTCCTTCACATGTCTTTGGGTAAATAGTCCCTAAATAAACCAATGGCACCTGACTGAATCAAGGAAGTAGGATTTAGTTTTAAGTGTCTTCAGATGAACCATAGTGTAAGCCAGTGAATGAAATCCAAAGCTCTGACAAGCCTGTGTCACGTTCTTTTGCCAAAGCATAACCTCCTGAGAAAAGGAGAAAGGGGGAAGAGAAAGGTGACTGATGGATGGTGCTGCTGATGGGTGGTGGTTCATGTTTCCTTTCCAGATCATTTCCTTTGCTCATGGTTTCTAACTGGACTCCTTACCTCGTGGTTTTGTTGGGTGACAGCTTCCTGTAGTCTGGGGGAAACACTTTTGATGTCACAAATGTGCATGCTCAAATTGCAGAATAGTGATGGAATATGCACATAGTATAGTACAAAAAATTGCACTCAAACTTGTAAAATGTTTAAAAATGAGTTATTGGAAAGGTGTCTGCATGTGGTGAATTCCCTACAGAAGTAGCTTCTATGTCCTGCAGTGAACCATTTTAGATTTTATTTTGTATGTGCTACATTTGCTACTCTTAGTTTTTGTGTTGACTTGGAAAGATAAAAACAATGGGTAGAATGTTTGTTCAAGAGTATTTTGAGGGATTTTTCAGCAGTTAGCTAGATAATGGGCCAGTTCACCATTTTGAAACATCTGTAATAATGCAGCTATTCAAAAAACTATTCTACAGACCTGTGCTGAGTTTTTTCTCTTTTAAGAAATGTAAAAGGAAAATGAATCTGTCTTTGGTTACAAAAGATCAAAACTAAGAGTGAAAGAAAACTGCTTTTGAGAAAATGTCACAGATAGAGCAAAAAAGTCAGAACCCAGAAATAGCTGTGATCAGAGCAATGTCAGAAAGCAGGCTTGAGAACATGCAGGTCTGTGGTGTGGTTTCAGCAGAGTTTTTGTTGAATTAATGGGGAGAAAGGAGAAAAATAATGCAGCTCTGGCATTGCTGAAGATTGCTGATTTACAGTCAGCCCCATGGACAGCTGTAACCAGTGACCTGCCACAGAGCTGATTTTTCAGGAGAGCTTGCTGTTCTCTGCCCTGCTCTTCATGGCCAGGGCTGGGTGTGACCTCTGATTTGTGTGCTACATGTGCTTTATTTTCTGTGCTTAGCAAAAGTAAGGTCAGAACCCCTCATATTCTCTTCCTGAGACTTTGTTCTGCAGAATGGACTATCTCTTTTGTAATTAAATAGGAGCCATGGTAATTAAGAATCAGTGGATCCTCACACCTGATAGATGTTCTAGCAGAGCGTGTAGGGGGCCACTTCTTTTATGCTGCTGCCCTCAGGTGAGAAAACTAATGTCTTCTTGGAGAGAGGAAGGTGCTTCTGTGTTCCCCTGTAAAATCTAGTTACTGAGAATGAGTGAGATGTCTGACAACTGACATGCTGCTACTTCTTGGCCTTCAGTGATTTCTTATCTTAATTCTCTAACCCTTATCAGGCATAATTCTGTGTTTCCCACTTTCTTACCATGGTTTAAACCTAAACAGGCTCCTATACAAGTGATTATAAATTTTTTTCTTAATAATTCCATTTTTCTACCTTTTCAAATCAAGTTTGGCTCTTTTTGGTGTAAAGCAGCATAACTTAAATGCTATTTAGAAGGAGTGTTTTTTCTAATAACAATTCTGCTTGTGTCAAGGAATGTTAAAGATGCTAAGTTGCAAGTATGTTTTAAATACAAGGAGGAAAACAATGCTAATTTAATACTTTCTGCTGGCATCCAGGGAGTGATATAAAAAATTCTGAAAAAAGATTCTTATTCCTGATGGACTTTCTCAGCTTTGCACTTCACACACTGCATTATTCTCATCCTTGCAGTCATCAGTCTTCTGTTTTTCTCACTTTTAGCTACTTTATATGAAACTCTACTATTTTCTTGTTGTTCTGGTCTAAGAGCCTGTAGCGCTTTGGTTAAAAAAATACTATAGGTCTAAAAGTTCAAAGATGCAGTAGCTAAATAATACATTCAGCACATGTTTCTAATCCACCAGCTGAGTTGTACAACCAGTCTGCTCTAATGCCTATGCAGTGCAGGATATGTGGCTCTCATGACTAGACTCCTTCCTACTGACCTCTTTGATTGTCATGTCTTTATTAGAGAACAATTACTTCTGTACTAATACTGAGAATGACTCAGCCTCTGTTATTAGCTTGTTTTGCTCCTTCTGTCACAACAGTTAAATCAAAAGCATTGCAAGGAACGTGTAGTAAAGTTGGAAATGTGAACCAAAGACAGCAAGGAGAGAATCTGCTTTGAAGAAGTGTCTAATTAACAAGAAGCAGCCTCTGTGCTGCAGAAAAACATGAGGAAAATATTTTCTATTTACCAATTGTATTTTTATGAAATGCAGTTAGAAATGACTGCAGTGATGAGGCACATGTGAGAGGCACACTTGTAGATGGGGCCTTGAAATCTGCCTTTGCTGTCAGAAGGACCTGGAAATGCATCTTTAACCTAAAGAGGAATCTAAAGACAATGCTAAAAGCAGATTTGGTCAACACAACCAAAGTCATTGGCTTCTCCCATTGCTGTTTTTTTCAAGAACTGGCTTGCCAGTTTACATCTTCCAAACCTGCTTCTGTCATGGAACAGCAGGAGTCATGGGTCGCAGCGGGACAGACAAGGACAGGGACCTTGCCCGCAGCTCCCTGTCCCATGGCAGGCAAAAGAAGTGACCAGGGTCAACCAAGAGCCCAGTGAGAGCCAACAAAGGCCTGACTGAGACAAGTCCAAGGACAAGCCAGGACATCATATCAGGATCAGCAGGTTGGGAAGCCAAGAAGAACAGGCTTACCTGCAGCTGAGCTCAGCCAAGGACTGAGCTGACAGGGAGCTCCTGGGCCTGGAGGCAGGGGGGGAGCCTGAGTTGAACTTCAAATTTAGTTGGGTGCTACTGTTCCTGCAGCCTGAGGGCTTTTGGACTCTGGTGGCTCTTCAGTGGGAGTAAGAAAGTGGGGATGGTGCAATACTCTGCAGCATTTTCCTCCCCACAAACCAGGCACCTCTGAGTGAGCTCCTTGTAGTCTAATGTCTCAGCCTCTTTCAAAAGCAGTTTAATATGGTAGAAAAGAACCCTTTTTTCTACAAAATTCATGAGTTTGGGGAGGAGTTGAAAGATGTCTTGTTTTTATTGTCTGCTCTGCTATTGTAATGCAAATGCTGTTCTAGTTATAATACTCTCTGACCACACAATACTATAGCTAGATCTGTACAAAACTTGCCACTCCAGTCCATTGATTTTCAGCTGCTGTTCATGTTTTTCATGCTTGTGGTCTGCCAGAATGAGTGTATAGTCCAGTAAGCATATTATGGTATATGAAACTCTATATAGTGTAGATGAAAAAGTGATAAGGGATAATACATTTATATAATAATTGCATATCCAGGAAGAAGGTTAGAAATACATGTATAATGTTCACTTTAATGTCAGATAATTTATTCTAATGAGACTCACATAAGTTGTTATTTTAAGATTGTAATCTCTTTATTCTTATACTACTTAGTCACACATCCCAGTCTTTCTTAATGTTACAAGTGCTAGTTACTGGTGTTACCTAAATAATGAATGGCATTCGTGTGTAGTTTTATGTTTCCTGGTAATCTCTTCTCTCTATGTGCACCTATTTTCAGTGAATATCAGGTATCTTTACCCTTCCACTTTCCCAGAACTGACTTCAGTGTTATCACTTCCCCTGAAGTGTGCAACAGCCAGATAAGCAATGGGGTGCATTGCTGCAATGGGGTATTGGTGCATCACCATCACCACAAGTGCAGCTTCTGAAAAGCTGCAGGGGCTGAGTTTGGAGTCTGGAGTTTGTTGTGTTGGTGCTGAAAAAAGCACTAACTCATACAATGTTGTTGACAATATAATGGTTTGATCAGTTCTGTCTCTTTCAGTAGTACCCAGTCATACCTTTGTATATACTGGTATTTGGTGTTTTTTCTGAAAATCAGATACAATTAGAAAAAGACCATGGTTGACAAGGTGGTGTTCAGATGAAAGCAGCACACTGTAGCTCATTATGATTTCTACAGACAGAGAGCAGCCCTAGCTTTGTTTTACATGTTGAGAAGGACTGTACAAACAGTAAAGTTGACAGAATTCTTTTGAAATGATCATTACTAAAACCACTGGTTTAGGCAGTCCACAAGTTCCTATATCTCACCTAGACCTTAGACAGTGTTACTGGTTTATTTTAATGAGAATTTTCTGTAATCATGTGCACTTCTGTGTCAGTTTCATGCATTTTAAGTTCTCATTGCATCCAGGTGGTTCTTTTCAGTATTGTGCAAAACAACTGATACTCCTCTGTAGCCAGAGACAAGAAAGAATGAGAAATGTGAAGATGGAGTTTGATTCCAAGCTGTGTAACATCTGGCCTTGTTTGATTTTTGTTTTCCCTCTTAGGACAGTTGCAAAGACTTATCCTCAGTCTCCTAAAAACACCAAACAATATCCAGCTTCTCCTGTGAAGCATCGTGCCACTTCCAACAGCAGCCAGGAAACACCTAAAAAGAAAGCAGACAAGGAGAAAGAGAATGTCAGTCACCTGAAGTCCCCAGGAGCACGCACTGATGACGTGGCTCCTGAGAAGCACGTGCCTTCTGCTGGAAAGGCTGAGAACACTGAAGGTGAGCCTTGCTGCAAGACATTAGTGCAAGGTTTGATGGGTCCCTGAGAGTTTTAAATGATGATGAGCTGCTCTTTTCATGAGGCTGCTCAGTCACAGGCTTATGAGAATGTGTAAAGATACTTACTGGAACCTGTGAATACACAGTTTTCACTAATGTAGCAAAAGCCAAATGTACCAATTGTTAATGAAGATGTGAAAGTGCTGACATCCAGGGATGCCCTTATCTATTCCATCTTCTTTCTGCTGGAAATTATAAAATATGCTTTTTAAAAAATGGGTCTCACCACCATTTCACCAGGCCCATTTGAGCCTCTGTATGAACCTGGAATTGCTCGACACTTTCTTTGTTCCCTGCCTGACTTCCATCCTTGGTTGTCTTCTCCTAGGGAAGATCACAGCAGGAACAAGTGATGCAGAAGAAGCTGCAAAAATTCTAGCTGAGAAAAGACGACAGGCCCGCCTGCAGAAAGAACAAGAGGAAAGGGAGAAACAGGAAAGAGAAGAACGAGAAAGGTCTCTCTATTGCTTTGTGAAAGTTATAACCTAATAATTTAACCTGCATCACTGAAGATGCTTGAAACTGTGGTAGTTTTGGAATCAAGCAGGAGTTTATATTGTCTGTTAATTTCTTTAATTTCAGACTCATTTCATTAGTGTCTTTTGCAGTCTCCAAGATGAGTGAAGTTAAAAAATAATAATTTGGCCTCTTCAAGAACCCTGAATAAATTATTAGTTTTCCAAATACTTCAGGCATGTCCATGCTGAAGTGTACTGCACACTGCAGTATGGTGATACCTGAAGTATTTTACATTGTAAAAAATATTTTAGGTGGCTTTAAATGAGCTAGATCACGTAGCTGAAATGGTCTTGCAGCAGCAGGATATGCTTTAAATGGCACAGCTTGAATCATCCATAATTAACCTGAAGCTCCTCTTCCTGCCCAACTCTGCTGCAGGCATTGAGGGCTGAGTGTGGGCAGGATGAAGGTTGCTGTCTGAGCAGTGCAGATCTGGCTCTGTTCTGGGAACAGGCTTTTTGGTGGTTCTCCACATGGGATGCTGGTTGCAAGTGTCAGCAAACCATGCACTTCCTTCAACCCTCTAATAGTAAATCACTAATTCTGCTTGTCTAGAAAATCCAGCTTTGGGTTTTCTTACTACAGACACAGTGGGCAGGGTGGAAGCGTGGAATAGAACTCTCCAGCTAGTTAAAGTTAGAAATGGGTATGTTTATTGACAGTGCCAGACACATGGGGAGTCATCTCCCAGAGATGTGGGAGATTCCCAAAGAATCACAGGCTCCAGCTCTCTATTTATCTAAGAAGTCTTACATATTCATATAATTTCCCAAATGCCTAATACATATTCATTACCTAACCCACCCCCCTTGGTATTAAAATGTATTTATAACTGAGTCTATGTTCCTTTATGCTTGTGCAGTCTTCACCTCAAATGGGATGGTGGGTTCTGAAATGGGTCGTGGTCTTCTGAGGTCAAAGTGACCTTTTACTTTTGCCTTGTTGGCAAGTTTTGGCTATAAACCCAAAACCCCTTGGCTATATCTCAGGTTTTGGGGCCCAGGTGCAGGCTATGGTCCTCTTCTTTTTCACAATTAAATCCGCATCCCATCCTGCTTCTTTAAACATAGTAAAGACAGGCAGGTCTATCACTCTAGCCTTAACTATTTTATCTGCTAATAATTAACTCTCCCTTATTATTTATACTCTTTATGCTATACTCTTAATTGTTTCTATCCCCCCCTAACTAAATTTACTTAAACTTTTAACTCTTTCAGTTTCTTTAAACCCTTGATTCAGCATGGGAGAAGAATGACCAGCTTCTGCCATTTTGGCCCTGATAGAATGATAAGACAGATCACTTAAAAAACAATTCTTAAGGAGCATGATGTCCCTCAGTGGGCCAGGGAACAACACAGGTGGAATTTAGACCCACTCCTTCCAGTGTTCCACTGTGTTTTGTGGAATTTGCTGCTACTCATCCCATCTGTTTATCTTCAGATGAAGCAAAGGATAAAAATACTTGCTTGTTTATAGACACCAACATTCTGGGTATCAAGTATAGGAGAAGAAAGGTTGTTTTTGTTCTTGAAACTTATTATTGACACTCTAATTGAAATTAGAACAGGAATGTTTTCTTTGATCACACATATTTTTTTCAATGGAAATTATAACTTCTATGAAATATTTTAGGCATTTAAAGTGAGATTGGTGTAAAACCTTGATAGCAACCTGAATTCTGAGTATGTGCTCAATGTCTTCGCTGTATCCTGGCATCTTTCATGAAAATATATGCTGTTGCATGTGTTAGCAGTAACTCATGTACATTCAATAGGATTCATGCTAAACAAGATGAAGCCTTTTAAACCTTCTGTTATATTTTCTGCAGGCTTGAAAGTGAAGAGCAGAAAAGAAAGGCAGAAGAAGAAAGACTTCGTCTGGAAGAAGAAGCTCGTAAGAAGGAGGAGGAAAGAAAACGTGAAGAAGAGGCAGCTAGAAAAAAGGCAGAGGAGGAAGCCAGGAGAAGAGCTGAGGAAGAACAAATGCTAAAGGAAAAGCAAGAAAAAGAGCTCCAAGCCAAACTTGAGAAACAGGTATCATCTCAAACAGAAACGTGAAATTTTTATGCATGTAAAAAAAATACTTCTTAATATTTGGTAGTCTGCCTGAAATAAATAATGGCCCTAACATATTTGGCACATTTTAATTAGAGGGAAGAAGCAGAAATCAAAGCCCGTGAGGCAGCTGAACAGCTTCGTCTTGAAAGGGAACAAATCATGCAGCAAATTGAGCAAGAAAGGCTGGAGCGGAAGAAGGTGAGTATTTGCATCTCAGGATAATTATTTCATTTCTTGTTTAAATACATAACCCAGGAAGCACCCAGTAGTATCTAATAGCAATAATCTGGAGGGATTAAAGGTGAATGGTTATGCCAAACTTAGTATTTGTTATTTGCCTGTTAGGGGAACATGGACATCAACATTTGTTACAAAGTGAAATTGCCTGAGGCAAATGACTTTCTCCTAGGCACTGAGCAAACACAGAGCCTGCCTCCACCTGCAAGTTAAATGCCTGAGATGAACAAGGAATGGCATGCCAAGGCAAATTCCAATTGCTGTCCAACCCAGGACATCACTAACTACTGAGAAACATGAGTGACTTTGTTTAAAACTTGCTCAGCAAAAGCTCTGTGTCATTAATTGAGAAAGTTTGTGGTTAACAAACAGCTTTTCCCCCACCTGGCTGTCTGTGGTTGCATTATGCACAGGAACAGGATTGTCTGGCCACTGCTGCACAGGGAAATGGCTGAAGCTGCATAAATTAGCTTTGTTTACAGCTGTGTGGCAGAAAGAGAACAGCTGCAGAACCCCTGTCTGGTTACAAACACTCATCTCTCCATACATGTTATTCCAATATGTTTTAAACTGTTCACCACTGAACTGGAGGCTTGTTGCAGTTGCAGATTAGAATATCAAACCAAAGTGTTTTACATCTCAAATAACATTTCCTTTTTAATGAAGAAAGAAGGAAAACAAAAGTATTTTAGGATAATGCCTTGCACATTTCTAGCAAGAATAACTTCAGATATCTCATTTTGCTCTTCTATTCCAAAAAGGCTAACTATTTTTAAAGGCACTGTTTGAAAACAGTTGGAAAAGCAACTAGATTAAAATAACCACTGCTGGTTTTAAACAAATATCTAGTTCCAGAACTGAGCATAACTCATAGCTGCAAACACCTGGTATTAAAATACTTGTTTCTAAAGTGCACCTGCTGAGAAAGTCATGTTCTGTAAGATCTGATAGGTTAAAGCCAGCTGCAAGGTGTTTTATCTCTTTAATTTTCTTTATTTTTCTTATTTGCTCTCCCTTTTCCAAGACAGGCAGAGAGAATGGCCTGACAGTAAAGAAAAGGTTCTTTGTCTTTTTTTCCCCTGTGTCTTGTGTTACATATTCTGTCCGCCATCTCATCCTCAAAAATTTATTTTGATTTATAGAGAATAGATGAAATTATGAAGAGAACAAGGAAGAGTGAAACCCCAGAAATAAAGGTATGAAACAGTATGTGGTTGCACTTTTTTTTTTGTTTTATTATCATACGTGGAAATCAAATTCTAGGGTAGTTCCATGTTAGTAAATCTAGTCTAGTACACTAGATAGTAGTAAGTGTTTTTTGTTTTATTATCATATGTGTAGTATAGTAAATGTTTTTTTGTTTATTATCATATGTGATAATCAAATTCTAGGGTAGTGTTAGTAAATCTAGTCTAGCACACTTAGTGTACTAAGTGTACACTCCAGACCCAAATTTTAGATGCATTTCAAACAGAATAACTGTTGCTGTGTCACAGCCACTGCTACAGAGACACAGCTTTTATGCAGCCTTTGCAGGTAGGATAATTGTCCCCCTCACTACCTAGCAAGGGGCAGCAGCTCATTCCTGCATGTTGGAGCTGTAATGTTTGCTGCTGTTGATGTGCCTTCCTGCTTTGTACCAGGCAGTGATTTCGTTACTGAGCTCTCTGTTACCCCTGTCAGGAATGTGGGAGTGAAGAGAAGGCAGTTGTGTCCAGCTAAGGAGTGACTGTCAGGTTTTCATTTCTAATCTATCACCAAAGGGGTATCAGGGACAGACTAAGGTGATACAGAGACTCCATCATCAGAGGGCATTAAAAAGCACTTTATTATTAGAAATTCACAGTTCTTATAGAAACAGTGGTGGACCTAAGACCTGATTGGAATCTTCTCTCACCTGTTGATCAAGAAGGGACAGCTCCTTCTTGTAAACATCTTTGACAAACAGAGATTGCCTGCCAGGTGCAGAGATTGAGATAATTGTTTTAATTCTTTCTCTGAGCTTTCTCACAGCTTCCCAGGAAAATCCTGGGAGAGCTGTGTCTCTCTCTGTTCAGAGGATATGTGATTACCACATAATCTAATTAGGAAACTGTTCAGTTACTTTCAGAGAATGTTTTCTTTTTTAATTGTAAAAAAATGCTATGCCTAACTAAAAAGGGGAAAAAAGTCCTGTCTTGCTGTTGCTGGTCTTTGTCACCCTGTGGCCCTGGGCAATCTCACAAGTTTTGAGACCAATTGGTTCCATGAAGGTTACAGTCCTCCCTCTAATACAGCTGAGTCATTACTTGATTTCAGAAGGAAGAGCCAAAACTGGAGATCCCATCAACTTTGAATGTGGAAAAGCAACCAAAGGCCCTTGTTCTCAACCAGCCAGGTAAAAATTGTCATGTTTTTCTGACCTATTTTCCCAGTTGAATCTCTTCAGATTTTTTTGATCTGAGGCAGAGCACTGTGTATTATCATAGGTTCTTTGCTTTCATCTCAAAAAGAACAGCTGCATTTGCATCAGTGACAAATGTTAGAAACTGGAGACAGCTTTGCTTTGCCACTTAAGCAAAACCAGAATAAAGTTTCTCCTCCATTTTAGTAGCTGATGTAGCATTTTTTGTAAATGAAAAGTTCTAGTGTGCCAGTGTTGGTTTTTGGTTTGATTGCTGCAACCTACCTTCAAATTTTGTAGGTAGAAAATTTTTCCACGCAACCCAGCTTTTTATAGTATGACTCTAAGTCTTACATTTAATTTCACTTCATAAAAAAACCCCATATGCATTTAAAGGATTATTAAATAAAATATGTCAGACATTATCTATATTTTGTTTACTTCTCCAGGCTAAGGTTTTTACTACATGATATAAAAGACAGAACGTTCTCTTCCTGTTTCCTCAAATTTAAAAGATGTAGCATAAAGAGCAGTTTTTGGAGTGGAATAAAGGAATGACAGTACAGTATGATGAGTCATGGATTAAACTGAGTCTACTGCATTATCAGTCTTCCTTTCTACTAAGTCTGGAACTTAAAACTATTTAAATAACAAAGTTTCTACTGTCATAATTCTAACTTTTTTTTACAGAGATCAATGGATTGGCGACCTGCCTGAAAAATAAAAGCTTAGAAAGTGCTGCTTCTGTAATCCCTTCCCAAGATGTGGTTGCTAATGGACTGAAGTCAGTTTCAGGACTTATTCAGCTGGAAGCTGTTGATGGGAAATCTAACAGCATGGAAGATTCAACAGATGAGGTTCAGTCCATGGATGTGAGGTACAGACTGGATCTACCTACAGGGTTGTGGGATTCATGTGAGACACAGGATTTTGGGTTTTGTTTGTTAATACTTTACTACCTTGCTTCTCACATCCCCCCATGGTGGCAGCTGGGTGTGCACTGGCTGTGTTCTGCTCCTGGCAGGATGCTCCTGGGTGTTTGGCACAAGAGCCACAAAACCTCATCTCACTCTCACGTATTTGGGACAGGGAACTCTGAAATCCCTCCACAGTCCTTACTTATGGATTCCATGCAAGTTTGCCCAAACCTTTCAGACAGTTTTGTGAAAGCATCTATTGTAGATACTGTTCTGATGTCCCTATTTTTTAATTTGGCTGCCTAGCTGTCATTCATTAGCATTTCTGCCTCCATACAAACAGAATAAAGAAAATAATGGATTTAGAATTTTAAGTACTTAACAAGTAGAAATGCATGAAAATCAGTAAATAACTTTGTGGTTTTAAATACTCTCATATTTGATGGAAGGACATGCAAAAAATGAAAGATTTTTAATTTGAAGTTTTTTTATTTACACACACATATATATAGGCAGTTAAGTCAAGGTTGCTAAGTCAAAGCTAGATCTGAATTTTAAACATGGAATTTTAATGCTGTTCTTCATTAATCAGTAAGCCAGTTGAACCTCTTATACTGTCTCCAGCAAATTGTATTTGCAGCAATTGTATTTCCAGCAAATATGCATTAATATATAGGAAATGCCCTGCTGGGACCAGCCAGAAGACTGTGCAGCCCAATATTTGATTTCAGAGAGTATCAATAAGAAAAACTAGTGAGGGAGAGCACATGAGCCTGCCACTTCCTGCAATCCAAGATCACTGAAGTGTAGCCTTAGGGATATTGAGGGCACAAGTCTGCCTTGGCCTTTTAAGTGGCCACTGGTTGACATGTTGCCCATGAGTTTATCCAACTCTGGTTTTTTTTAGCAGCTCTTTGTGTCTAGGACCTCACCTGGAAGCAGTCTGTACAGTACAGTCTCACTGGTAGATTATGTTCTTTGATCCCTGTTAAACCCAGTTTCTTACTGGTGGCATTGGACACCCCTGACATTTTGTGGTGTAGGATTTCATGTATGATAGTTTTGCTCTCAACTCATCCACCATCACATCATAGTTTAAGAAATGTCTGTGAAAGCCTTCCTCTGCCTTCTCTTCTCCAAACTAAAATGCACTAGCTTTGCTAGTCTCAGTAAAGCAGCTGGTTGCAGCATTTCTTAAGTTAAATTATGGGATTTCTATGTCTGAAGTATATAATTAGGTTTTAAGAAATAACTTTTTATTTAAGTTTTGAAATGTATGTGCTTTAAGTAAATGTTTGCAGGATCAGGACAGTAATGTGAAAGATGCAATAAACATCTAGGTAAAGGAATGGTGGAGGGACTGAAATAATGATCAGTAAACTCAGTTCAGTAAACTGTCAGACGTGTGTTTAGGAGATGAGTGCTCATGTCACACAGCTACCACAAACCTTCATCATTAAGGAATAGGTTAGGTTTGACCTTCTGTCCTGAACAGGTCAATATCTTTTTTTTTTTTTTTTGGATTAGGACATTCTTTAGGTAAAATCTTGCTGCAGCTGCCCTAAGATGCATGGTAGTTTCTGAACAGTCAGAGGTTTAACTTGATTTTTGCTTAATGAAAAGTTATAGACCTGTTATTCAGTGTCTTTCTTCCTTTATCTTTTGTATAGCCCGGTTTCAAAAGAAGAACTTATCTCTATCCCTGAATATTCACCCATGAATGAACTCATGCCAGGTGTTTCTTTGGACCAAAATGGGACAAGTAATGCCAAGGCTCTTGAAGACCTCTTGGATTTCACAGGCCAAGCTACCTACTCCAAGATGTCCAGTGATACCCTTAGCCTAGATGACTGTAACAAAAACTTGATTGAGGGATTTAACAGCCCAGGACAAGAAAATACACTTAATTCTATCTGTTGACAGCCCTGCTTTTCAGCAGAACTGATACAGGTACAGTATTGTGATAAACATCTTATGATAAATTGCTGTGATTACTTCCTAGTTTCCCAGAATATCTCTCCCCACACATGACAGTGTGGGGAAAGAAAGAAAGCTGTTCTCCTAGGTATTAAAATTCAACATAATCTTTGAGATTTGCAGCTGCCTGTAAATTGGCATCATATGCAAACTGACTGTATCATAGCAACCACAAGTATCTGGTAAATGGAAACATTTCCTTTAGGCATCCAGAATTTCTTCATTAATACCATACCTTTCCTGCATATCTTTGGAGCCTATTTGCATGAAGAAAACAGTTAAAATGGGGCCAGTCTAGGCCATAGTAGTTATTGCTTCTGCTTTCTCTTTGCTGCTGTAAAACTTGCAGTGAAAAATCACACACCCTGAAAAGCCAGCATAGTAAAAATCCATAGTAGGCTTCAGTGACAGTTTCAAAGTACAAAACTATAGTCAGCTTTTTTGGAAGAGTATATTCTCTAAATAGCAAAACTGAGGTCATCTAACTTGTGTAGCTGACTTGATAGTCTTCTCTCTCTTTTTGATTGACAGAGATAACATTTTCTGGAGGATATATATCCCTGTGATGCTACTGGCAGTAAAATATGAGCTTGTCACTTGAAAAAGCTTCTGCAGTCCTTGAACACTGGATTTCAAATAATCAGAGCTGAATATAACTTGTCTTCCCAGGGAGTATGTTGAGTAACTGGCTGCTTTTGGTAGAAACCAATGATCTAGAGCCTTGATGTTTCAGGGGAGACAGTGTGCATTAGAATTTGAGCTTTAGCTGCTAATAAAGCACTTATATCTTCTTTAATTTAAAATTCATCTCAACACTTCACTGTGATTTTTACCTGTGCATTTTATTTTTAAATAATTCTTTCCTAAGCTTGATCATGTCCTTCATCTATTTCCATTTAGACATCTTTTTCCTGTAAATAATGATGGGGTTTGCCCACAGTGCATTGAAACAAAATAATATACTGTACTTTAGTTTTGTGCCTATCTTTTTTTGTCTTTAAAAGGAGTTAATGGCAACTTTTATGAGGTGTGTAATTCAAAACTGTAGCTGAAGAGGCTTGAAAAACATATAGCTGCTGGAATCAAAAGAGCCTTCTTATTGACTGTGGAGTATGGGAGCTATCCCTTTATGATTATGTTGACACTTTTAGTCACTAGTGGCACTTACCAGTTAATATTAATTAGTCTGGGAGCAACTATCAACTGTGTTTGAAATCATATTTGTGTAGCACTTGTAAGCAAAGTATGCCAAATGCCTGAATATGTGTGTAGAATAGCTGTAGTAGATCCGAGTGAGTGATCGGGAGGGTGACACATTAAACTTTGAATATGCAGACACTTGATTGATACCAGCAGGCTTTCTATCACACAGAGAAGTATTTTCTCTTCCTGTAGGCTCAACAGAATGGGATTTGGTCAGCAGCAAAACAATATGTGAGTGTCAGAAACACAAAGGGCAAAATGCGCACTGGGAACACTGGGTGCCCTTGACATTCTGTAAACATCTGTGTGGAACAGTCCACACCACGATGTGCAAGGTCAGGACGTCATGTGCTGCACAGTGTCAACTTTATTTCTCTTGGTGAACCTTTATGCTAGATTAGGTGCTGCTTTGAGGATATTTTGTCCAGTCCCTTATAAGAATAAATTATAAATACAACTCTCTTTGGACACTAACACCAAAAATGTGAAAACTTGGGGTGGGGAGGGGGTGTTTGGCTTTTTTTTTCCTTTTTTTTCCACATGTAACAGTTCACAGCATAGATTGACCTCAGTTGTAGCACCATTCTTGTTCTCTTAAAAGTCAGCAGTGGGAAAGTAACCAGTGACATGATGTGCAATGCCTAAAAAAATCATACCTACAACAACCCAGCTCTATTTATGTTAGTGTACTTCAAAGAAATACTTTCTTTTGACTGTGCAGTAAGCTGTAGCATGGTACTGTGTCTTCCAAATTAGTCCTTCATCTATTTCCTAAATAATAAACAAACAGAAACAGTTTGTTTTGCTGTAATACACTGTGTTTGACAAATGTCATATTATATTTTATTATGGTGTCATTGTATAACCTGTAGATTTCTGTATTTGCATGACCTGTATAGCATGTATAAAGGTGAAATACATTTTCATTTATGAATCTGACTTGTTTCTTAGCACTTTTTTTTTCCCCACAACAATATGACTGATTTAAAAATACATGTATGTTAATTTGTTCTGAGGTGTTTTCTGAAAGAGAGTATAGTACTGGAGAAAGGAGCAGTTGGCAAAATCTCAGAATATTTCACCATTGTTCCCATTGCCATATATCCATTTGCTTTCTGAGGTGCCAATACACTGGGGAAGTGCAGGCTGGTGGCCAAAGAGCCTCAAGGTCAGGACTCCAAATTGTGCCATCCAGAGGGCTGGTGGCTGTATAGGGCCAGTTTGCAGCCCCAGCATCTGCTCTCTGGCAAAGAAAATAAGCAAAAGAAAACATGAGAGCTGTGGTAAGTAGACACTTCTGTTTAGTGTGCAAGAGCTGTTCTCTAAGAGTGCCCATGACATAAATGCTGAACTTCAGGCTATGTGCACACACTGCTGCTTGGAAAGCAACCAGCCTGGAGCTGCTGATAGTTCTCTAGTGAAATGCTGAGGAGATTTTTTTAATAGATTTTTTTAAAACCATCACTTCAGTCAAAATTGCAAATGAGACAACCTGATTTTATGATTAAGGATATTAATACTTTCCATGGTGACAGTTCATTTCATTTGTATTGACTCCTGAAACATTCATGTTATTTTTCCACTATATTATTTACCAAGATTGAAGGAAACAAGATGAGTATTTGTGAAGAAATTGCATATTAACCTTTATATTCTCTTTCAAATGTAACTTTTCAAATTTGGCTGAATATCTGGAGTAGGTAGTCTCAGCTGAGGGGTTAAATTGCTTCTTTTTGCCTTTGCTGATGTAGCTTCTTCATAGCAGCACCATCCCAGTGTTTGCTGCCGTGAACCAAGACTGTGCAATGAGCTTTACTTTGAATTTGTCCGTGGTTTTGCAACCGCAGCAAAGGATCAGAAGTGATTCACACAAGTCCTTGATGAGCTTTTCTGCAGTTATTTTATAGAACTATTAGTAGGTTTCTAAAAGGTAAATAACACCTGTGGGGTAACTGGGCATCACAGTAGCTTTCTGATTAGGTTCTACGTTAGGTTTTACATGGTGTTGCCCAGGGAAATGGCAGCCAGAGCTTGCCTTGGACCACAGTGAAGGCTCTGAGCAGACCTCTTGTCTCCCCAGGGAGTTAATTTCAAAATAAAATTGCATCAGTGGGGGGTGGATCTGGACCCCCAGGCTGTATTTTCATCTGGTGATGAACAGCAAGAAGCAGTGGGCATCATCCTCTCTGCTTTAATTGTACAAATGAGATGTGTGCAGGAAGCTGCAGAAATAGCACAGATTGCTACTCTGGCTGGCAGGGTGGGGATCTCCCCCCTGGCATAAAGAGAGCAGCACCTTGTCCTGCTTCCCACCCCACCTCAGACCCTTGACAGCACCTACAGCTCAGGTGTCCCTGCCACCAACCCACTCCTGTTCCAGGCACTGTCAGTGTGGCACTGCAGCTCTTCTATGCCCAAGGTGGCACAATGGCTTTGAGCATTGGTCATGCTGTTGGGAGAAGCCTGAGATCCCAGGATAACTGGACTCCAGTGCTGCACAGCAGCCTGGAAACACTAGAAGAAGACATCCTTCTCATTAAGGTTTAAACTGTATTAAAATGTAGGTAGTTCAATATTCAAGAGCTGAAATCTAGACTCTGAGGTTTATAGGTTGTTTTCTCTAAGCCTGGCCTGTGTCCTGCACGAGAGAGAGACTGTCCTCTAAGTGGCACAAATGAATCAGTGATAATATATGCTGTTCCTTTTCCTGATTTAGTGACCTGTGGGACTTCTGCCTTCTCCCTCCCTATTCAGGAGCAAGGTGGAAACTGAAGAATTCATTTGGTTTCATTTCAGGATAATGTTGTTCATTTGGTTTCATTTCAGGATAATGTTGTTCAGGCTGTTGGTTGTCTCCAAAACCAAAGTGAAGAGTGGTGGCTTGTTGGATTTCTCGGCTGTTTAGATGGTCTGGGGAAAAGCCCAAAGATGGCCTTGGGCCCCCGGGTTCGAAAGGACGAGAGGAAGCTTCAGATTTGTTCTTGGTCTTGGTGTTTATTAATTGCTTATCTAAAAGATTTTCTCTTGGCCTGACAGAGTTCTGCTCAGCAGTCAGCCATGGGCACACACTGAAAGCCCCTGGGGCGGTCACCTATCTTTATACCCGGAGTTACGTATACAATATTTATCATTTTTCTCCAATACCCTCTACCCTTATTAACCAGTGTTCCCCTAGTAAGGTCCAATCCCGGAGTGCCAACATCACCACAGAAGATGGAGGCTTAGAGGAAGAAGAAGAAGGAGAAGGGCACGCCCCAATCCCTCCATCTTGCCTCTCTAGACCCCCCTGTACAGGGATCTTAAACCCTGTATCTCACACTCCAATTAACTTGTCCCTTCACCATTCACCCCAGTGAAATCCTCCCGTCCTCATACTGATGTCATCTCCCATGTGGGATCAAAGTCCAGCCACCAGACATTTCTGGCAGCATTCCAGGACTCCCGAGCCCCCCAGGGGCAGTCTTGTTCACCCTGCACCCCAGTTCTGAGAGACTGAGATCCCACATCTCCCCCTTCTGTTTGCACCAAAAAGATCTTTTTCGCCATCCGATTCATTGCATGTTTTAAACATGCAAATATGCATGGGACAACAAGTATGAGGACTAGGAGAACTATTAAAACATAAAACCCTATTTTTAAGATTCCTCTCCAAATGGGAGAGATGTCAAAGAATTCTGCCAATTGATCGATCCATGATCCTGTGATCTCACCAAGCTTATTTATGCTGTCCTTTATATTTTTGATATTTTCATGAATTGACTTTGAATGATCTGAGAGATTCATGCAGCACATCCCTTCGAACTCTTCACACCCATGTCCATGAGCGAGCAATAGATAATCAATTGCTGCTCTATTTTGAAGAGTCGCCTGTCTCACACTACTGACGTCTTTTAACATGTCATCCAATGTGACAGACACAGACCGCGCATGTTTGCTCAACCAACAACCCATGCGGTCGATCTGAGTCAGGGCCACCCCCGATGCTGTCTGAGGTGAGAAGATTGCTGTAGCAATACTCGTTTTCTTGTCCCAAGAAAACATTTCATCATTGCAATCTGCCGCATATTGCTGTATTGATCTTTTTTCTCTGTGCCTTTCCTCTCTTAACATGTTCAAATCAGGCGATAGCATTGAAATTTCCCCAATGCTGCATGGACCTCCCGTGGCATTAGCAGGAATGCCGTGCCAAATTCTGTCCCCGCAAATTAAGAACAGACCCCGCGGCAATTGCACCGGAACTTGGATCGATCCTTTGGTAGTTCTCTTTGTATATTTACACCAAGCTGAGGCATTCTTATAAAATTCATGAGTGGGAGTTAAATCAATAGTTTTCACCTTTGTGACTTTCGGAGCTTCAAACTGCATGCAGAGTCTCATTGTCATGGACCCAAAAATCTCCAATTCCTGAGGTTCTGTAGAAGCCACAGGAAGCAGGTGTGTCCAAGCACACCACTCTTTTATAGGATTTTTAAAGACCTGCGAAATGTTAATTGCAGAGTGCCCTGGAACTGGCCATTGGTCCACTGGCAATCCAACCATGCATGCTGAAAACGGTTTACCTGGTCTTGAATGTGTCAGGCAGACACTATCTAAATTCGCTGCCCGAGCTAAAGCCTCCCATACATTTTGCCTTGGTTGACTAACAGGTAAATCTCCCCCACTGCTTACTGCAATGAATGAAAGAACGATGCACATAAGCATCATGAAACCCATTACTTTGCTTTTGTGTGAAAAACCCCCCAAGGTCCTCAGTTTCTTTTCATTTCTCTTCTGGGTCGTTTTTCGCAGCCCGAGTCTCGACTTCTGTCTGAGTACTCGTCTCTTTGTTTCTTGGATCAGCGTTCTCGTGCTCTCGTGTTCGGAATGGCTTCACGTGCCGCGCTGACACCCACTTCAGACCTCGATCTGTGGAGATACAAGCGAAACCCTTTCCCCAAGTGATTAGTCTGAAAGGACCCTCTATTTGACCTGTTTCTGGGTTTCTGACCAAAACCAAAGGATCTCCCTTTAGCTTTGCCTGCGTGTTGTTTAGAAAATGTCTCACGATCG